CAGCTCCCCTCCCCTCTTCGGCCAACAGCCAACAGCGAGGAAGCAGAACTGCTTTGGAGCCGTGAGGGCACAGTGGGCCGCAGAGAGCGCCCACCGTTCTGCGGCCGGACAGAAGGGGCCTCCTCCTTCTCAGCAGGGTCGAGGGCTCAGTCCACACCCGCGTTTCCTCTGGGGCTTCCTTCTCGGCGCACCGCTTTTGGGGGTGCTGTTCGAAAATGAGTCACCCTCACCCCTTTATTGTCATGTTTATTGTGGGAATCTGGGTCTCTAAGCCTCTCACAGGTGTCTTGAAAGGGCATGTCAAGGCCCCGTCTTGGACAAATACCAACTTGTTCTTGATCCTAGTGTGAGCAGAGACTACACTGAAGGATTTATTCAGGATAGGGACTTTAACATATCTGTACTTTCAGAAGATCAATTTTGAGACATTGTGAGAGTGACAGATAAATTCACTCAGCGTGGATATTGGCACCAAGTTGGCACTCCATAAGTGGTGTTTCAAGCAGTGAACATGAATGGATTCAATAGCTGGGTCCCTGGTAGAGAGATTACTTGTAGGCCCCTGGAGCCAGCCACACTCAACAAAAGGAAGGTCTAACCTAGCAAAATGGCGGTGGGAATAAAAGGAAAGATGATCTTGATGTTAAGGTGAAAGATGACCTTGTATTTAGGAGGTGAGGAGAAGGAGGGTTCAAATATGCAAGTAAATTTCCTACACATTTGTTGTGGAGCACGGTGACACCATCGATTCAAATGGAGGAGAGAGTCTGTGTTGAGTATCGGATGGTGGGATGGGATGTCCTGGAGGCCATAGAAAACATTTGTCTAGAGCTTAAGCGTGGGGTTGTGAAGGCTGCTCAGCACTGGAGAGTTTTTCTTGAGGTCTTCCTCCTAGATAGCTCTCAGAGTACGTGAAGTCCTTCAGGGCGAAAAGACAGGGTGGGAAGAAGTCTAAGACAACGCATGGGAGAGCAGTGATATGTAAGGTCTGGAGAGAGCAGAACAATTGGTGAAAGAGACAGTGCAGTGGACAGAGGAAGGATGAGCACTTGGAGTGCTGGGTGGTGAAAATCAGGGGGAGAAGACAGGGCTTTCCACTGTGTCGCTGCGGGTTTGCCTTTGAGGCTGGTGAATGGAGGTGACCGTTGTCAGGGCCAGATGGAGGTCCTGTACCAAGGCTACTGGGGCACCGTGTGTGACGACAGCTGGGACACCCAGGACACAGACGTCATCTGGTGGCAGCTGGGCTGTGGCCATTAAGTGTCAGCCCTGGGTGGGGCCCACTTTGGTCAGGGCTCTGGGAATACTCTCTTGGGTGCAGTGTACTGCTCTGGATGGGAGCCCTGCCTGTCCATTGCCCCCACAGAAGGTGGTACCACCATGAATGTGGCCACAGGGAAGACGGCAGACTCCTGTGTTCAGGTACTGCAGACATTGCCTCGTGCTGTCACCTGTGCCACTCTGAAGACAGGGGCTCCTGCTGTCCTCAACATTCCGTGCATGCAGTTTACCTGCTCTACTCTAAGTCATGTCTTATTTGAGGTTAGAGAGCAGGTATTACTGTGCCTTTTCACAGATAAAGAAATGGAGGCTCAGAGAGGCCAAGTGACTTGCGTAAAGTCCTAAAGGTGGAGGTGGTATAGGCAAGTTTCCATCTCAGTCCCCTTCAGAGCTTGCTGATGTCCACTCAGTGGACACCTTCCGATGAGCAGCATCATCTCCATCCCCAGCCTGAGATTACTAAATATCTTCCTAAGTGGCTCTTTCCCCTCTTTTTAAAAGCGAGGGGGAAGGATTGGAGACTTCTGGTCTTTAAAACTTATATCTATACCAAAAACAGAATGAGCAGTAACCAACATGTTCTCTTTATTGGGGATTAAATGACAAGCAAAAGAGATTTACACCCTCAGTGGAAGAGAGAAATTCTCCCTGACTTGACCTAGCGAATCCCAGCACCGCATTCCTCCTGTGTTCACTGAGAGCTGGTAGGCGTTCAAGCACCAAGGGGTCCTTAAAGCCACAAAGAAACCTCTCAGGTGCCGCCTGTTGTGTGTCCCCCAAGGTGTAGTTTTTTGTTAAATTATCCACCTCTAGAGCAACCTCTGGCATTTGCCATGTGGCCTGGGTTGTGCACATGCCGCCATGCACAGGATGTGACCCTGGTAATCCAACCACCACAAGAGTATGGTTTCCCGAAGAGAGTGTGGCCCTCCAAGCTGTCACTTTGGAGTGAGTTTATTTCAGCATTTGGGGGTGCATCTTGGGAAATTGTCATTCTTCCTGGATGGCATCACCTTACAGGAATATCTCAGGGATCGGAGACATTTGTCCTTTGGGGGTGTGTTTGAGCCATAGAAGTAGGCAGTTGGTATTTGAAGTACAAGCTTGTGATTCAGGTGGGGCTGTTAATCAACTGGGTGATTTTTGGATGGAGACTGTGGAATAGAGGAATAGAGGAGGTGGGAAGATGATGACAGGAGCAAAGAGTGTCCGTGGTGGCATCTCAGCATTGAATGAGGGCCAGTAAAATAACAGAGAGATGAGTGCTGTTTCACAAGAAAGATCCATAGCCTTTTTGGAGAGGGCGGGGCTTCTGGATCTCTGCATCTAACCTCTTGTTTCAGAGTTGAGGAAGCAGACGGCCAACCCTTCTCAAATGAGGGCCAACCTGGAATGACCTGTCCTTTTCTCCACTTTGTAGCTTCTTTGTTATCTACGGAGGCACCCCTGACAACTGCAGTGGAAGGTAATGTTTGTTACGTGGAATCCCTGTGGGCTCGTTACCCTACTGCACCGAAAGGTTCATCTCTGATCCAGAAGAGGGTCAGAAGGTATAAGAGTTGGGGACTCTCAGCTCCCAAGGGGGGTCCATCTGAACAAGATCTCAGGCCCGAATAGGTATCCTTTCCATGGACAATGTCCCTGAGATTGGGAAGGAATCAACCTGCAGAGGCATCTCCAAGGACCTGCAGGGTAGAGGTGGGTGTCCTGTCTCCAGGGAGGTCCTGTTGCCCATGCTCAGTGCCCACTCCTATGGTTCTCAACAATACATGCTGATCCCTGGACAGGCTGGGGTGCCGGGTCTCTGGCTGCAGGGCATGGAGAGGCAAGTCCAAACCTTCTGGGGTAGAATCCTTGCCTGTGCCCTTTCTTGAGCCCATATTAGGCCACCTTGGCTCCTTCTCAACATAGAGGACACATGGTCCTTCTGCCTGTGGGCATCAGAGGACCTGTGCACCCCCCTGGGGCCTCTAGTGAGAGAGCTGGGAGGTGCAGTCAAAACAGCTTGAGGTTCTGGCAGCCTGGGCTTTGGGAAGGAAAGTCACTGCCCATTTCCTATGGGAAACTTTAGCCCTAGGACCAGAGGAAGGACAGCCTCCACACCAAGGCCCCCACCCAGGAGTCAGCATGGATCAGTTGGGAATCCTGATGGTACATATGTCAATACCAGATGTACTAGTCATTGGTACTAGCCAATGCAATTAGACAAGAATAATCAATTAGAAGCATCAGGAAGGGAAAAGTCATTTTTGCATCTATCCCCTGGAGCCTTGCATAGGTCACATGTGGGAACATCAGAATCAGGGTCAGTAGGTTTATGCAGAGATGTTTCCTCCAAAAAATAGCCTTTTAGAGTAGAAGAACTGAAGACTAGACAATTTCTTGACTTTTCCAAAGTCACACAGCAAGACACATTCAAGATCAAAAATGACATATCTTCAGCAGATTCTAGTTTATTTCAGTCCTTGAGTCTCCTCAGAGAAGATTTAACTTTATAGTTTCTGCTTTTCTCTCCTTCTACTATCTGTATATGCAGAGACTACTATCACAAATACTGAGACTCCTGCTGCAATAGGTAATGGATAATTTCATATGGGTCCTTCTCTGCAGGTCAGGATGCTGAGTATATTTATGAGTTTGACTCTTATTCAGGAAAACGTTTAGGGGATGGAGTGAGAGAGAGTGTTGTGAGCATGTTGTGCAAAGGGAGGTCCCTTGTGAACCAGAGCGCCTGGCTTAAGTGGGAGCCTCCTTCACAGCCCGTGTTCCAGTGGGTGAGGAAGGGTCAGTCAGAGCATGGGGTCTCCAGGAGCATGTGTGCTTTGGGTCGGTGGCCAGTGGGATCAGTCTCTTGTCCACAGTGCCAGTTGTCCCATCTGCACAGCTCTGTGCTGACCCTGGCCATTCTGGCCTCAAAGACCTGGTGTGCGGCCAGGAGGACCAAGTGTAGGATGCTCTCCAAGCCCACCTCAGAGCCCCAGACGAGTGTCAGAGCTCCTGCTAGGACATCCTGGGGTCACCAGGTGACTCTTCGGCACGGACAGTCATGAGTCCCAGGTTCAGGGGAGTTGGGGCTCTGCCCATGGTACGCCAGAGAAGAAACATGGGGACAGTTTCTAGGTCCTCTCCAGGATGCAAGCTGAGACGTGCATATTTTTAATTCAGAAGCTCTAGTGGATTGGGTTTTGGCAGAGCAGTCGCTGTACCTTACGCATGAAGAACTCTATTCAAGGCTTGTTAAGGCTCCATCCCGGGTAGTGATTCTCTCAGGGATCTTTGTCTACCGGGAAGAATTAGGAATATTTTAGAGGCTGGAGACCTGGTCTCTCAGTAGGAACATACAAGAGAAATGCTGTGCCTTCCTCTAGGGACCAAATCGGGTTTAGCTTTGTGGCTGGTGAACGGAGGTGACTGGTGTCAGGGCCGGGGTGAGGTCATGTACCAGGGTTCCTGGGGCACGGTGGGTGATGACAACTGGGACATCAATGACGTGAACATGGTCCTAGACAGCTCAACTGTGGCCCAGCTCTGTCTGCACCAGGAAATGCCCGTTCCTCTTTGGATTGCTCTTGCCCTTCTCCCAAGCCCACGACTTGCTCCATCTGAGAGTCCCGCCCCCCTCCACTCTCTGTTCCTCTTGGCCGCTTACCAAGTCTAGCTGCTGAGTAGCCTCTGAGCTCCAGAGGTCTGAGCCTTACCCTCTCTGGTGGATCCCTTCTTTCTCCCCAACTTTTAGTGCAGTGTCTCATGTGCGGTCAGAGATTAGCCCATATTCACTGAGTGAATTAATTAATGAGTGACGGGCCCAGCTAACCCTCCAAAGTAAAGTGTGGTGCAGCCCCCTTCTCTGCTCAAACGAGCAAGGGGATCAGATTTAATGCTTGTTTACAGAAGAGCTCTCATTTGGCCTTTTTCTCTTTGTATTTTCAGCAACAACCATGGAAACCACTTCTGTGGAGACGCAGACGCCAACTGGTAATTAAACGCTGGGACTGGGTGGTTGTGGGACCCAAGACCAGCCGCAAGGACTCAGGAGGGACCACTGCAGAGAATCCTGCTGGGTTTTAGATGCAGGACAGGAAGGGCCTCCTCTGATGGGGTCCACCTGAGGCCTCAGGCCCTTCCTTGCGAGTTTCCACTCTGACCAGGAGACAGGACCCAAGTCCCAAATCTCCACTCCCGCCTATGCATAGCCACAGGCCCTTCCTAAGATCTCGGCACCCCAGGCAGCCCTACTGGGGGTCCAGCAGTGGTTACAGCCACTCAGTAGGGCAGCAGAGGCAGTTTGGAACAGCAGCATCTAACCGAGTCTCTCTGGATGTAATCGCTTTTTTTTTAATATCCTTTTCTAGAACTTTTATCACGTCATGGGCATACGGTGGATACTTCTGCCTCAGGTGATACATTACACGGTAACTTCTCCTGCTCACTATTTCCTCATCTTATTATAGTCCTGTGTGTCCATGAGTGTGCCGGCTTGTGCCAAAGCACAGAGTATGATTTGGGCCAAATTGTTCAAATGTTAAAAACAATATCAGGAGGCAGAAAGGTAAAATGATTAAGAGCAATGGCCTGAGTACGTATCCTGCCCCTGTCACTCACGAGTCAGTTGATCTGGGGTCACCTTCCTGAGCCTCAGTTTTCCCACAGGGTTGTTTTTAGGATGAACTAAGATGACGTATGTCAAGCTCTTGAATATGAGCAGAGGTTCGCATGTTAGGAAATGCTCAAAACCGTCTGCCACGAGTAAACTTTAAAAATCGGCACCGTGGGGTGTGTGTGAGGGAGGAGAAGAGATGTCCCAAGTGTGCAGGGACACAGGCCTTTTAGAAGCAAGCCTGGCTCTCTCGCTGA